ACTCCTGAAGTCTGCGAAACCTCACAGCAAGTCACCAAGGAAGAAAGAATAACTGTTCCCAATTACAAGGTGAGCCCTTTGGACTGGAAGGTCATAAAGGCCTCTCTGAAGAGAAGGCATCTTAGCGGATACCTGCCATGTGAGGACCAGGCGGAAGAGCATTTCAAGGTCAACCCCAAAATTGTCCATTAGCTTTCCAGGCATCTTCACTCTTATTCACAGGTAGTTTTAAAAAAATGTATTTTTATTGATTTCAGAAAGGAAGGGAGAGGGAGAGAGAGATAGGAACAACAATGATGAGAGAGAATCATTGATCGGCTGCCTCCTGCACGCCCCACACTGGTGGTCGAGCCTGCAACCCAGTAATGTGCCCTTGACCGGAATCGAACATGGGACCTTTCAGTTTGCAGGCCCACGCTCTATCCACTGAGCCAAACTGGCTAGGGCCACAGTTAATTTTAAATCTGTATGTTTAGAACAAATAAGAGTAAGAAGTATCCCTCTAGAAATACGTCAAGTTTAAATTCATTTAAGAGGTAATTTCAAGCCCAGCCAGAGCGGCTCAGTGGTTGAGCGTCATCCTGTGCCAGTTCGATTCCAGGTCAGGGCACATACCTAGGCTGTGGTTTTGATCCCCAGTTAGGCCAGGTACAAAAGGCAAGTGATGGATGCCTCTCTCTCACACTGATGTTTCTCTCTTTCTCCCTCTCTCCCTTCCTCTCTAAGCATGTGCTGGGTGAGGATTTTTTTTAAAAAAAGGCAACTTTGAGTAGAGAGTACAGATCTTTTTCCTTACTATTTCTAATTTTATACTCAGTGCCTTTTCTCCATAACAATACCCCCTACTCCTTCTCTACCACCTCCTTACCCATCCCTACCCACCCCTCATCCCCTCCAATACCACTGTTTCTGCTTATTATATGTCTTGGTTGACATTGGCGAGGTTCTGGGACATGGCAGACACAGCTCCCTTGATCTGGTTGTGCTGGAAACAATGGCTTCAACCTCCAGATCTCCCCCTGAAAACAAAAGCATCTACGGATACAGGAGCCCCCCTTATCCATGGGGGTTATGTCCCAAGACCTCCTGTGAATGCCTGAGACTGTGACAATACCAAACCCTATACATACTATGCTTCTTCCTACGCATGCATACCTGTGATGAAGTTGAACTTATAAATTAGGCACAGTAAGAGATCAACCACAGTAACATAATGAAGTAGGACAACTGTAACCACAGGCTGTAATAACAGTTGTGGGAATGGCTCTGGGGTCAGCATTACGTGAAATCAGGGTGACTTGGACACCAGCAGTGGCAGGTCAGGCGACCTCAGAGCCTAGACAGCTCTTAAGTGGCTAGCGGGTGGGGATGGATCTGGAACCCCCTGTTGTCCTAAATGACTCCTCTGTGCCCACTTTACAGCTTAAAGCTTCAGTTGTTCTGAAACAGTGGTTCTTACGCTGTGTTAACGTTAAGAGCTCTTTGGGGCTTTGGAAAAACAGGAATGCCTGCCACCACTCTCCCCTCTCCCTCTGAGATGGGGCCTGGCCTTACATGCTTTTGTTTTTTAGAAATATTTTAAAACATGGGGGAGTGGGGGGGGGGATGCCAGAAAAAAATAGTACAGTGAACGTCCACACACCCTTTACCCAGATTCATCTATTTTTTTAAAAAATATATTTTATTGATTTTTTACAGAGAGGAAGGGAGAGAGACAGAGAGTTAGAAACATCGATGAGAGAGAAACATCGATCAGCTGCCTCCTGCACATCTCCTACTGGGGATGTGCCCGCAACCCAGGTACATGCCCTTGACCGGAATCGAACCTGGGACCTTTCAGTCTGCAGGCCGATGCTCTATCCACTGAGCCAAACCGGTTTCGGCCAGATTCATCTATTTTTTAATAAAATGCTTGAGAGTAAGACATCATATGCATCTCCTTAAAAGACATTTTCAATGTGCATTTCTTCACAATAAAGACATTTTCTGCCCTACCCGGTTTGACTCACTGGATAGAGCATTGGCCTGCAGACTGAAGGGTCCCGGGTTCGATTCTGGTCAAGGGCACGTACCTCAGTTGCAGGCTCCTCCCAGGTCTGGGCTCTGGTCAGGGCAAGTGAAGGAGGCAACCAATCGTGCTTCTCTCACATTGAAATTTCTCTCTGTCTTTCCCTCTCCCTTCCACTCTCTCTAAAAATCAATGGAAAAATATCCTTGGGTGAGGATTAAAAAAAAAAAAAAGACATTATCTTACAGAGCCACAGTGTAGTTGTCAATGGGGGGAAGTTTAACATTGGCACAAACACTTGTACTTTCTCTCTATCATCATATTCCAATTTCTCAGTTGCCCCGGTAGCATTTTTCCATCTAGCACAGAATCCAGTCTAGGATCAGGCATGAAGTGTGGTTGCCGTCTCACTCGTGTGCTTTCAAAAGCTCTCCAGGTGGATTTAAAATGTGTCCTGGTATTTATTTACTTGCACGAGGTAAACATGTATTAGCTGTTTACCACGTGCAAAGTATCATGAATAAATTAAGGAGTTTTTTATTTTAAGGGCTAGACTATATACCAGCAATTTTCAACCTTTTTCACCTATCAGAGATACAAGTAAAATAAAACTTATAGAAAGTTTAAATACGAAGAGATGACAAATACAAGATAAGTAATCAGTTACCAAAAGAAAGGTGGTGTTTCAATAACAATATCAAAAATGCCTAATCTAAACAATTAGCATGAAAATGGTAAAAAGAGGCACAACAGAGTAAGAATCAACTGTGGTTTCCAATGCAGAACATACTTTGAGACATGCTGCCTCCTACGTGCTAGGGACCATGCCTGCTTTCTTCACTGCCATATCTTCAGTGCTTGGCACACAGTAGGTGGGCCATACATATTAATGAGTGAACTGATTGCATTCTATTCAAATGCTCTGTTTATGTGTTTGTCATACCACAAGGGGAGGGGCCCTGTCTTACTCAGTTTTATGCCATCAATACTCAGCACATAGTACGCATTCCCTAAATTCACACTAAACTCAAGGTTCACCTCTCCCACAAAACCTCTCTGAACTGTTCTTACTCATAATGACTTTGTTTATACTTCTATAGAACCGATCATTTGAAACGCGCAATTTAGCAACTGATTATGCAGTAGTGTCTTTTAGTTTTTTATTGTCTAAAGCTTTACACATGTCTCCTTTTCCCGATGGACCCCCCTCCCGTGTCTTTTAGTTTCTGATCCAACCTTGTTTCTCCAAAAATATTTTAGAGAGGATGACTTACACTTTTTTTTTTAAGATTATTTATTTATTTTTTAAAAATACATTTGTATTGATTTCAGAGAAGGGAGAGGGGGAGAGAGAGAGAGATAGAAAGATCGTTGCCAGAGTAGAACATGGATCTGCCGCCTCCAGCACACGCCCCAGTGGGGATCCAGCCCGCATGTGCCCCTGACTGGGAATGGAACCGGTATCCTTTCAGGGCACAGGAAGATGCCCAACCAAGCCATGATGGCCAGGGAGCCTTATACTGTTTACAGTACCTTGAATCAAGAATATCAATACTGCCCTAGCTGGTTTGGCTCAGTGGATAGAGCATTGGCCTGTGGACTGAAGGGTCCAGGGTTTGATTCCGGTCAAGGGCACATGCCTGGGTTGCAGGCTCGGTCCCCAGTGTGGGGCATGCAGGAGGCAGCCGATCAATGATTCTCTATCATTCTTTCTATCTCTCTCCCTCTCCCTCTCTGAAATCAATAAGAATATATTTTTAAAAAAGAATATCAATACTTTTGGGGGTTGATATCACTTCCCGATGAATGTAGATTAGGTCGGTGGTGCCAGCAGCACCTGCCATGGCCTCCAAGGAGTATCTCCGCGCCCCTTTTCCATCCTTGACTAAAGAGATCACTATTTAGAGACAGGCACATGTGTAAGAGTGTGGAGAAGTTAACATGGGAGCTGGGGGGCGGGGAGAGAAGGCAGCTACTGTCCAATTCCTGGTCTCTCCCCACCTGGCAATATGGGAAGGAAAATGCCTGCAATCCTACAAAAAAGTGGGCGTGGGAAGTGGGAGGGAAACAGGGAAGAGGACAGAGCCTGGTCCTGGAGTTTGTTATGAGATCAAGAGGAAACCCCAGGGGAAACAACTCAATCCAGGCTCTGGGGGCCTTGGGTAGAAGGCAGAGAGGGATGTTGCTCATCTACCCACAAGGCACAGCGGGGGACCCACCACAAGGAGCTCCTAATCGGGAAGCCCCAGGGGCTACTAAAGGGCAGAGTGGTATCTCCTTGCTGGGCTTCTTAAGGAAGGCACCACAGTCCGTGGAGGTCAACCAGGGCCCTGGGATGAGGAGAGGAGATGAGTTGGCTGACCTCCCAAGGTCCTTTGTAATCCCACAATTAAATGGTGAATCCTGCACTTGCTTATTTATGCTCCCACACACATCCGCACCCAGTTTGATAGTAAGTCCCCTGGGCTGCCTTCCAGGTTTAGTTAGGGCGCGACGCAAGCTGATGGCACTCAACAAACGACTCAAATATTTGTTGTAAGAAAAAAAAAAAAAGAATCAAGTGTTTAAATAGGGCGCACATGGCCTCCGCGACTGTAAAGTACAGCGATGAATAAAATCACAACATTCCAGGCACGATCACTTGAGCAGAGCGGGCAAAGGGAACACACACACACACACACACACACACACACACACACACACACCAGCACTGATTCAACCGGATTCGCATCCCCACCTTGGGAGCAGACCACCTGCTCAGCGCGCAGGCTGTGGGAGTTTCCTTGCCAAGGAACCTCTCTGGCAGCTGCTTTAGGTTGGTGCCGCCAGAAGGTCAAGTCACCAAGATTTAGGACCGCTTCCCTTCCAGGGTGGCCTCCGAGACAAAGTTTCCACCTGGCTTAGGCCTGGGCCTCCCCTGGGCGCGTCCGCACCCCCTCCGGACCGGGGAGCCCCTAGAGCGCAGCCAGCCTGCTGGCAGGCTTCCCCTTACCTTGGTGAGCTGCGCTATCTTCTTGCACATTTTCACGTGCATCTCGGGGTCGCAGTCCATTCTCCCGCAGGCGCGCCCGTGGGCATCAGCTTTGGAGCCCGGGCCAGTCCCGGGTGCATGAATTTTGCTGTTGACCGCAGAAGCCATCGCTGAAACGCGTCCAGCGCTCCCGGCCCCCGCTCGTGTGCTCGCGGCCCACGGTGTGCACGTGCGTGCGCGCGCGGGCGTGTGAGCGTGTGAGCGTGTGCGGGCTTTATCGGGGAGGTGGCACTGCGGTCCGCCCGCCCGCCCGCACCGCCGCGTGGCCCCCGCTCCCTCCGCCCGAGTGGCCGCCTGCCAGCCACCCGCGCGCCCGCTCCCCCTCCTCCCGCGCTCTCTCCCGCTCGCGGGCTCTGCGGGCACCCGCACCCTGCGGCGAGGCGCCGAGGACCCGCACGTGCCGCTCGCAATGTGCGCGCTGCTCCCGGCCCGCGCGGGTTTTGCTGGCAGTGGTAGGGCTGCCGGACCGGAGACGCCGGCCGCGCGGGTTTTGCTGGCAGTGGTAGGGCTGCCGGACCGGAGACGCCGGCCGCGCGGGTTTTGCTGGCAGTGGTAGGGCTGCCGGACCGGAGAGACGCCGGCCGCGCGGGTTTTGCTGGCAGTGGTAGGGCTGCCGGACCGGAGACGCCGGCCGCGCGGGTTTTGCTGGCAGTGGTAGGGCTGCCGGACCGGAGACGCCGGCCGCGCGGGTTTTGCTGGCAGTGGTGGGGCTGCCGGACCGGAGACGCCGGCCGCGCGGGTTTTGCTGGCAGTGGTAGGGCTGCCGCGACCGGAGACGCCGGCCGCGCGGGTTTTGCTGGCAGTGGTAGAGCTGCCGGACCGGAGACGCCGGCCGCGCGGGTTTTGCTGGCAGTGGTAGGGCTGCCGGACCGGAGACGCCGGCCGCGCGGGTTTTGCTGGCAGTGGTAGGGCTGCCGGACCGGAGAGACGCCGGCCGCGCGGGTTTTGCTGGCAGTGGTAGGGCTGCCGGACCGGAGACGCCGGCCGCGCGGGTTTTGCTGGCAGTGGTAGGGCTGCCGCGACCGGAGACGCCGGCCTGGGAGAGCTTTGCGCTGGCGGGGCGCGGCGCTCTCGGACACGTGGGTGTGCCCGGCTCTAGACTCAGCGGCGACGGCCCCCGCCCGTGGTGGGCATCCCTGGCTAAGAAGGGAGAAGAGCCGGCCGCAGCCTCGGGCAGCCCGTGCGCACGCTCAGGGAGGAGCCCCTGACGATGTGCTGCTGGGTGAAGGGGGTGACGAGGACCCGGCACCTTCCCCAGCTTCCTCAGCCAGAGGCTCTGGGGCCTTGGACCCTCGTCCGAGGGCGGAGGTGGGGGGCGCGATGCCCAGACAGGTGCAGGGAGGTGAGAGCGAATATCTGGAACGAGAGGGGGCACGGGGGGCCGGGGTGCACGGTGTGGCCCCCACAGGGGCTGCAAATGGGTGTCCTCACCTCCCCCATCTTGGGGAGGAGCCGGAGCGTTGCGGGAGGATTGCCAGGGATCACCAAACAAAGGGTAGAAGGCAAAGCGGGGGGGGGGGGGGGGGGGGGTGGGACGCACAGTGCGGGAGGCAGGAGGAGCGCAGAGAAAGTAAGTGGAAAGGTAGGAAGGATGGTGGGAAAGGAGGCGGTGAAGAGGAATGGAGGGACTGAGTAACAGATGGAGCTGAAAACCTAAGTAAATCAAGCCCAGCGAGAGTGAAGTGACTCGTCCTGATCCATGACCCTGGATTGCGAATTTGTTCGCCGAGTGGAGAGGGGAAGGGGCCACATGTCTTTGTGGCTCGCTTTCTCTGGTTTCAAACCGTGGGCTTTTAGGGAAGTGACAGCACCCCATCCAGATTCTCCGAAAGTGTGAATAATAGTGTCATCATCATAATAAGCAATTAGCATGGTTAATATATTTCCTTTTACAAACTGCCTTATACCAAGAATTTTAATCTCGACAAAGCAAGCAAGCTTCAGAGTCTCACAAACCACAACCCCATGGCTTTGCATTTCTGTGAAACATCTATATAATTTTATTTTTTAAAAATATATATTTCTTTATTGATTTCAGAGAGGGAGGGAGAGGGAGAGAGAGAAACATCAATGATGAGAATCATTGATCGGCTGCCTCCCGCACGCCCCCCCCCCACTGGGGATCGAGCCCACAACCTGGGCATGTGCCCCTGGCCGGAATCGAACCCGGGACCCCCCAGTCCGCAGCCAACGCTCCATCCACTGAGCCAAACCGGCCAGGGCTAATTTTATTTTTGAACAATACAGTTTTGTTAAACATCTTTTTGAGTGAACAATTCAAGAAATGAATACACAGTTTAAGTTGACACTATGCTTTTATTGTAATCCTAACACACATTAACTAGTACTGAGGTTGCAGTATATCAGGTCTTCCATCTCATCTGCACAGGAGGAAAATAAACATGAAACATACCAGCATGCGCACGGAGGTTATAGTATGTCGACATGAAACCATGGAACATGGCATTTTGGGATACAATGTTTTGTGGCAAAATTATAGCCAGATTATCGTAAACATTAATATAATTACCATGAGCTCCATAATGCGAGTCTAAGAACTCTAGCATTGACAGTCTTTTTTTTTTCTTCATATTCCTACCTAAAATTCTTAGTGGTAACAAAGGTGTGAAACAGGCATAAAAGGGGGGGTACATGGGCTAAGAGCAATGGCACAAGCAGTCTTTCCAATACCTGAAATATTTAATGACCAACTTGCAAAGTACGTTAGATTTCACCTTGGGGTTAACAGGCAGGGAATGAATCTGGCAGCTCAATACTGTTGTCCCCTGGTCTTTCTAGAGTCCAAAGGTAATTAAATCATAGAATTCTCCAACATTCAAAAATGAACGGAACAAAGCTTTTTAACTGTTTATTACAAAGCAAGAGTGTTCTGTACTTAGCAACCTCACATGGTTTTAACTGAATTGAATTTGGTAATATGGATGACCTATGTATGGTTGAATATTTCAACAAAGCCATTTCTCAATTTCCCTTTCTGGAATGGACCACTGCTCTCTTTTTAAAAAATTTAAATCACTTACGGTGCTCATGCAATACAAATCTAAGTATTGTCCAGAATATTGACATGGAGCTAGGACTCCTCAAATTTTGCTAAACATAAAAATTATCAGGAACTTGTTAAAAATATTTATGACTCCCCACATCAGAAATTTTGATTTAGTGTGTCTGGGTAAGGCATTTTAAACAATTGCTTCAGTGATGCTGTTGTGGATGGTACCAGACCCCACCTTGAGAATTGCTTTAATGGTGCAACCAAACCTTGTCATGTCCCTCTATGTATTTTTGCTTTATAATTTATGCTATGACACGGCAATTTGACTCCTACCCAAGAGGGATGAGTGCACATACCCACCAAAAAACACAGGTATAAGAATACTTATTGCAGCTGTATGTGTAATAGCCAAAAGTTTGAAAGAATAGTCAACAGCAATAAAAATATGGACCACTGATACATGCAAACACCTGGATGAATCACAAATGTTACATTGATGAAAAGCTAAGCATAAAACAATACATGATCTCATTCATATGAAGTTGAGAACAAGCACAACTGATGGCTGTTTAAAAGAGTGGCTATTTCTGGGGGAGGTACAGACTGGGAAAGGGTGCTAATGAAAAAGAAACGTTTTGCTCTTTGATTTCAGTGTATACATTGTGATATGAGTGTATCCATATGTGAAAAAACATCATGTACACTTATGATTAGCACACTTTATGTACTTCACTGTAGGTTTATTATTCCTTACTTTATAAGAAAGGCAGAAGGACAAATTGGTCTGGCATGGTTTCCTTAATGGATTTTTGTTGTTCTTAATCCTCACTCAAGGATATTTTTCTATTGATTTTTTTAGAGAGAGTAGAAGGGAGAGGGAGAGAAGAGAGAAACACCGATGTGAGAAAGATTAGTTGCCTCCTGCACGCACCCCAACCAGGGCCGGGGAAACTGCAACGGAGGTACATGAACTCGACTGAAATCAAACCCGGACTCTTCAGTCCACGGGCTGACGCTCTATCCACTGAGCCAACCATCTAGGGCTCCTTAATGGATTTGATGACAAAGAAAAAAACACATCACCACACAATCATATGCAATTAAATCAAAATTTATTCTGAGAACACATAATCCTATATAATAAAAGCCTAATACACTAAGTGTCCGGTTGTCAATACAACCAAAGTGTAATATGCTAATGATATGCTAAGGCCACTCAACCACTCTCTATGACATGCACTGACCACCAGGGAGCAGATACTCTGACCGGTAGGTTAGCTTGCTGCTGGGGTCTGGCCAATTGGGACTGAGTGAGACAGGCCAGACCGGCTCTGGAGCCCTCCTGCATTCCCTCCCTGGCTGGCCAACATCCCACGTCCCTCCCCGGCCCCAATCATGCACTGGTGGGGTCCCTCGGTTTGGCCTGTGCCCTCTCACAATCCTGGTTGAGGGACCCCCTCTCCCAGAGTGCATGAATTTTGTGCACTGGGCCTCTAGTAATAATATAACAAAGTACAGAAAAAACCTCAAACATAAAACTCATAGGAAAAAAATCTAAAGTGCTATGTAGGAGTATATTATGGATCTGTCACTGGATTTAACTATATTTTGATGGCAAAAATAGTATGGAAGATAAAAAACTATGACACTTCAAAATATTATTTTTAAAGATGTAGATAATTCATTATGCTTTTGACCCCAAAAAGGTAAAATCGAAATGAAAAACTCGTTGAAATGACTGCTGTAGATTATGCATCATTTTTATAAACATTTTTGAGACTTGCCTAAGCAAGGGACAGTTTCTTTTACAAAATAAATTATTAAATAATATTTACTTTCTGAAATTTCTGCAGTGCACACCTTATTGGAAAGTCAGCACTTATTGCAACTGTGGTTTATGATGCCTAAAGGATCAATTTGCTGACACTACATTTGTACTATATTTTAAAGTGACTACTAAATCTTCCTACTAAAATTGTAATAATTACATTTAAAAAATAAAAATTTCAGATTTTTGTGACAGTGACACCCATCCAAACATGTGTATTTGGTATATTTCTAATTGTCTCATTTTATTACTAACCTAGTTTTCTATGTAATTATCTTTTTTCCCTAATTTCCCAATATCTGTCTCATTCTTTTCTACATTTTCCATATACTCACTTTGTCCCAAGTTTTCTCGAGACCTACTTCCTGAAACCCCATCCTACTTACTTGA